TGCAAGCCGACTGTTGTCGCGCTCGGAACAAAATTATTCGATCACAGAACGCGAGTGCTTAGCTCTCGTCTGGGCAATTGCGAAATTTCGACCGTACCTCTATGGCCGACCATTCTCAGTTATTACGGACCACCATACGCTTTGCTGGCTCTCCTCACTCAAGGACCCTACGGGACGCCTTGGTCGCTGGGCGCTGCGCTTACAAGAGTACACTTTTTCCGTATCCTATAAATTCGGACAACTTCACAAGGATGCCGACTGCTTGTCCCGTTACCCAGTCGATCCCCCTGACATGATGGAAGATAGACAAGAGGTACTCGTTCTTTCAATTACCGACTTCGCCGACATAGCTGCTGAACAACGTCGCGACCCCTCTTTGCGTGCTATTATCAATGGTCTGCACTCCCCCCACCCTGACCACTCCTTACAACTGTTCGTTCTTCACAACGACATCTTGCACTGCTACAACGCCCGTCCAGATGGTGCTGAGCTTTTACTCGTTGTTCCTGCGCATCTTCGCTCAGATGTTTTGGCCCAGCTCCATGATGCCCCCTCCGCTGGACACCTAGGGGTGTCACGCACGTATGACCGCGTTCGCCGCCGATTGTTTTGGCCTGGCCTCTATCGTTCTGTGCGACAGTACGTTGCGGCATGCGACCTCTGCCAGCGCCGCAAGACACCTGCTCTGAGACCTGCTTGTACCCTCCAGCCCATTGAAGTACCAGATGAGCCATTTTTCCGAGTCGGCCTCGATCTTCTAGGACCTTTTCCCGTGTCGGCCACCGGTAATAAATGGATTGCTATTGATACCGACTACGCAATGCGGTATTCCGTTACACGCGCCCTCCCCACCAGCTGCGCTACTGATGTAGCCGATTTCCTTCTTCATGACATCATTCTGCGTCATGGTGCTCCTCGTCAGCTGATCACCGACCGCGGCCGCTGTTTTCTATCTAAAGTAGTTGACGAGCTCCTGCGATCCTGCTCTACCCACCACAAGTTCACTACAGCGTACCACCCACAAACCAACGGCCTCACGGAACGCCTCAACCGTACCCCGACGAATATGTTAGCGATGTATGTCTCCAAGGATCACAAAGACTGGGACATCCACTTACCTTTCGTTACCTTCGCATACAACAGTTCACGTCATGATACAGCTGGATTTTCACCTTTTTACCTACTGTTTGGTTATGACCCGCCTTTGCCCATGAACACCATGCTCCAATCTGACGCCCTCTCATCGACTGCTTATGCTCGTGATGCCCTGGCCCGAGCTGACATCGCCCGCCAAGTCGCCCGGGATCGTTTATGTGCCTCGCAGCTTAACCAAAAGAGTGCTTACGATCGCCGGCACCGCGACGTACAGTACTCTCCGGGGTCGCTCGTCTTGCTGTGGTTACCATCGCGTCATGTTGGTCTCTGCGAAAAACTGATGTCCCGTTACGTTGGCCCCTATCGCGTCGTACGCAAGGTCACCAGCGTGACCTATGAAATAGCTCCACTCCATACCACGTCAGTACCAGCTTCAGTCCCGACCGATATAGTGCACGTCTCACGGCTTAAACCATACTACTCACGCCCTGAGAATTGATCGCACCGGGACGGTGCTTCTGCCGCCAGCGGGTAATGTCACGGGCTAAGTAGATGCCTGAGGTTGACGACGACGAAGTGCTCTGGATAACGTGCTCGGACTGCAGCAGCGTTATACGCATTTTGCTCGCCAGTATATCCATTGTGTATACTTTATTCCCCGTAACAATATTCACAACTATACAGCACAGCAGAGATGTGCCAATACACTGTTCTAACTAGTACGTGCATTCATGTTTGCACCACTTATGCTGGCGCGAACAGGAGCAGCCTCCTATCACTTGAAATCTCAATGATCGGTTCACTAGTGATGAAAGAATGAACTCTGGTCTCGTTGAGAGCATAATGCACCATAATCTGTTTCTCAGAATGCGTGAACTCTGACGAGAACTGCCAGCACTTGCAACACGAGCTTACTTACGCTGTACTGTGCACCATCTGTGCCTGGCGGTTTTCTGTTTCGGTCGTTTTGATGTGCATATTTTGAATTTCACTGCTGGCATCAATTCCTTCGCGTTCATTCACGTTTGTGGTATAGCATCACTATACAACAGAAATTACCAGCCTTTTGTACGGAGTCAATCACAAACACGAGACGTTATGTGCGCAGAGTAAGGTACTGGGCGAGCACGACCTTATCGACACCTGAAAGGAAGCGAAGGAAATGTATACCCACGAATCTTTCTGCCAGGGGAGAAACGAGCGATAGTGTTTAAGGCGGAACATTACCAGCCGACATGTATCGTCGTTAAAGTTCTCATTTCCGGCATTCAGTGCCACTGCCCGAACTTTGCTTAGCGCGTTGCTTTCTAGCAATGCGAAATCACCACCTTGAAATACGCTCAACTCTTTGAAATATGCTGCCTAGATGTATTGATAGGTAGTTTGTCTTCTGTGTCAGTCAACGCCCTTCTACGGGACTCGATGGCCACGCTGAAATGCGATAAGGTAACGCTTGTTGATTATTTTTCGAAAGACACCAATGCTCCTAGCGCATACATGACAACTGGTGAAAAAGCTACAGTAGCTGAAGAAAGGGTTCCCAGCTGTAATTCAACACTGCCTAAATACGTCTCGTGTGTTGAAAAAACATCTGAAAACCGATCGTAGCTTGATGCATGTACGAAAGCTGCGATTTCTGACAACGACATTGGTTTTTACGTATTTAACGGGCCAAGACGCCTGGAGTTGCAGGGCGACGAGACTAGATAACCTTTGCTAATGGCGCCATGAAAGCAAGGCACTAAGTATACAGCTTTCCCTCAGGTTAGTAAGTGCAAACTGAAGTTCGATTCTCTCTGGCAAGAAATGTTTTCCTGGCTGGTGTATTCCAAATATCAGGAGGGAACTCTCTGCAAGACATGTGTGCTGTTTGGAAAAGAAAGTTCAGGCGAGGGCACTCACCAAATTTTTGGTCCCTTGGTCCTCTGTCTGTTCACGCGTTGGAAGAACGCGTTTGAAAATTTAAGAAGCCACAATCGGTGTGGCTACCACGAGACCGCTACTCTATACGTGTGTGAATATTCATGTCAATTGAAGAAGATAATCAGCACTATTCCAACGTGTGATGTATCTCTTTGCTGCGTGAAACGTTGCTTGCACAGAGTTTATTTCATTTCTTGTAAAAGATTATGGTTACTATGTATATTGTTCACAATTTTACATGATAACATGTCCACTCATGTTTCTTCATTCTGTACATTTCTTGTGCATTATGTCGCTAGTTGCAGAAATCGCTCAGTGTGCCCTTCTCGTCGGGTCAGTGTAAAGGGACGAACAGATGAAGAAAATCAGTATATATATTTTTAATTTGTCGTATATTTTTGCTAGTTGCAGAAATCGCTCAGTGTGCCCTTCTCGTCGGGTCAGTGTAAAGGGACGAACAGATGAAGAAAATCAGTATATATATTTTTAATTTGTCGTATATTTTTTCAGCTTCATCTTCTTTATTCTAGCTGTTTGCCACACTGCTCAACAATAAAACTTGTGCTTGCTACAGCTGCCCACACTGGATTTCTTATTACGCCGCTTGTAGGTTTATGACCACCATCTATATATTTATCAGCTTAAGTTACATGGTGAGTATGTATGTAGGTCTTTCTAAGGTTTTGATTGGCCTGCACGTTTGCCTGTGTTGCACCTTCGTCATTAGACAAAACTTCGGAGTACCATTATGGCATAGTAAAGCTACGTATCAATATATTATACACTCGCGTACAAGTGAAGTTTGGCAGATGCATGAAATTATCTGTCGCATGTGTGTGCATGTGTGTGTGTTTAGAGGTTAGCAAAACGTGTGAAGGTTCAATAGAAATATTATTCTCTGGCTTGAGTATATCTTAGCACACGTACGTAGGGTCACACTGTACAAGTATGGCCACTGCTGGAGCATTGGACCACCGCTAAAGTATGGCCACCGCTGCAGCAAAGAAAATACATCACGTGCACCTTGTGACCTTGATCACTTTTCTCTCTCTCTTTTTAAAATATGCGGCTTTTCAGTGCAATCGCACATGCTCGTGTGGACAAGTCACGGCTTTCCGCGGCGGGCCTTGTAACGACCAGGCGCGCCATGCTCAAATCAGCCAATGGTTGAAAATGGCCTTGATGAGCGATTTTTAAGCTTGTAGCGTTATTTGTTGAGAAGGAGAAAGCAAGTTTTAGCTGACTTGGAGAATGCATTGTGCATTGCGGGCCGCATGCTGCGCTATATTAATTGGCTTGCATGTTCTTGGTAGCCCTGACTACCGATCGGCAGCATTTTTGAACAGCATTTTTTCACCGTGCTCAAAAAAATGTTGCAGGGCCCCTTTTACTTTCAAGTAAAGCTTCACGGCAATGCAAATTTTTTTTGAAAGGTCCTTTCACGGTTTAGCATTTGGACACTGCGGTGAAACCATCTTTACAAGGGGCTACATGCAGACTGATATACAATAATTTGTTCATTGCGAATACTTTGAAATTTGCCATAATTTAAATTCAAATTAAAGTGAATTTGAATAGTATACTATTCGTCCGAATATTCAAAGCATTCGAATATTCTCACAAGCCTAGAAAATGATAAGTGTAACCTTAAGAGACAAGAGAGCAGAGTGGGCAAAGGAACAAACCGGGGTTGAGGACATCATAGTCGAAATCAACGAGAATAAGTAGACATGGGTTGGGCACATAGCGTGAAGGCATGATAACCCCCGGCGATCAAGGATAACAGACAGGATTCTAAAAGAACGCAAGCGAATTATGGAGAGACAGAAAGTCAGGTGGGCAGATCAGATTAGGAAGCTTGTGGGTTTAAAGTCGCAGCAGCAAGCACAGGACCGAGTTGACTGGCAGAACGTAGAAGAGGCCTTTTTTCTGCGGTCGACGTTGTCAGGCTGTTGGTGATGATGATGTTTTCTTCCCCCCAGGTACTCAAGTGGCGAGGTACGCCTGTGGCATCGAACCAGCTCTGGAGTGCAGCTGAGGAGTGTGGTCTTGGATGGCGCATCACTACATCCAAACAACTTGAACTATGTCAGCTCGGTCGCCTTGGCCAAAAGCTGTTTTGTTGTGTCGTATGCAGAAGGTGAGGTGTATTTCTGCCATTTCCTCTGTTATGAAAGCTTGCCATATAATGTTGCATTTCTATTGTCATGTAGTTGTGACAGTGAAGAATGTAGCAGCTGAAGCAGTAAAGAATAAACTCTTTATAGAGAAAATGGGTGCACAATAAAAACAAAGCATTTAAGGTACAGTCTCACCCCATCTGAGTTGTAACATAATGTTCTTGCTCAAAGTGGTGCCAACACTTCAAAGTTGCGCTGACATAGCAAAAACTTATGAGGTAAGCCATGTTTCAATTACTGGTATTCCTTTGACCACTATAACATTTTCTCGCTTCACCATTTAGGCTTGGGGCCTAAATGCAGCAACTCGTAATGTGTGCGACTGTACAGAGATAGCAGCAAGCATGGTTCTCCATAGTTGAAAAGCTACTCCATCGACGAAATGTGGTTGCTGTTTACATGCATCACCATGTATCCCAGTGTCATCGCTGGTGCTCCTGCATGCTCTACAGTGCACTCAACTATTAATTTTATGCACATTTAGTTTTGACTTGATTCATTGAATTTACTCATGTATGTAGTGGTGAATGGAGGTTAGGTGAGGCAAAAAAGCCGCACAGACGTGGCTTGAGTGAAACCTTGCCCTCTTTGGTACAGCAAGGCCACACATGGTAAAGCATATGTTTGTAGAACACAATAATACAGCCACCATAAAATGTGATCGCCATACAATGAATAAAAAGAAATAATAAAAAGTAACTGAATAAAGTTATATGACCCACATAACTTCATTGAGTGGGTCACATGTGATGCGTTAGCTGTAGGCTAATGTAAATTTGAGGTTCAAAGCGAATTCAGAGTGAATCGTGATTGGGACGAATAATTTTGCATTCAATTTGAATAGTATATATCACATATTTTAAAGAAAAGTGAGCACATATGTCATGACCCGACTAACCTCCACAATATTTTTCGATGTTAAAACAAGGCATGAGCAAACGTCATTCTTTATGGTTCAAAGGGAAGTGGAAGCAGGATTTTACTTCTGCTAGATTGAAAGTGATAAACTACAAACTACATCACGTTTTAAAATTTACTGTACAGAGAGCATATAAACTGGTATAACTTTTCAACTTAAAAGAAAAATGGTGGATTGATGTGAGTTCAATATGTTTATGAAACCGTGAAGCGAGCTTTGCGGCTGTGAGGATTTCCCCTGAATAGGAGTATTGACAGTGTGGCGACCACTGGGCATAGACATGCGCAGCCTTCATCTTGTCACTGATCAGTGCAGCGTGACACGACCATTCTCTGCAACACGCTTTCGATAAAAGACAGCGTTACTGCAGTTGCACCAGAGGCTTTCGTCACCACTGTTAGCTATATATCCCAAGCTATCAAGCTTGGTTTCATGATTGTTTCTCTAACCTTTTGAGTGCAGCGGCTGCATGTTTGCCCCGCTGCTGCTATCACGTTAATAAACGATCATTACAATTTATGTTGGGATCCGTCCTTCATTGACTCTGCGTCCTATAACAGTATACTAGAGCTTTTTACAGAAGAGACAGAAATGCTGCCATGCTGGCTGCACGTGGGTGTACAAAGGATGGCATTGCAACCTTAGTATTGCATTTGGGGGAGGGGGTTACGCTTATTTAGCGCAGCCCAGAGAGGGCTATGGCAGCACGCAAGGAGAATTTTGTGAAATGGTCTAAAGCACGCCTCCACTACAAGGGAGCCATCTTTACAAGGGGTTACATGTGGTTTGTGTGCACTGATTCGTTCGCTTTTAATAATTGAAAACTGAGAATAATTTAAGTTTGTGTCAAAGAAAATTCGAATACTGTAATATTCATAAAAATATTTGAAGCTCTTGAATATTTGCTTATGCCTCATCAGCGGTATATCTGATTGAGTTCTGTGTTGAGTCGCATGAGGGTTCGTTGTTGATCCTTGCTCTACAGGTGAGGTCTGTGTCGGTGGTCTTGGTGACAGCCTGTCAGCAGCTTGCAACCAAGCAATTGCCCTCCCTGGACCAGCGAAGGTGTCAGCCTCCAAGCAGGATAACCACTTTGCCGCTTTCGGGGGCACCAACGTCGCCCTTGTAGATACATCTGGACAGACACAGTCAGTCCAGCTCCCTACCAAGGTGAGTGATGTGTGAACACATCTTGAGGCAAACAGTTGGCGCAGGAGATGTCGAAATAGATTAATCAGGGTGTGGTGAACAATGAATTACAGTCCTTTGTTAAGATAGAGAGAGGAGAAAGGCAAGAAGGAGAGCGACGACTGAAATAATGTAACGCTGCATGAGTAGAGGCGTGCCTGTAGCCACTAGGACGTGGCAGGTCATCTTCTGTGTGTCAATGACTGCTCCAATAGGATGCATGGTGAGCGTGTCTGCCGATACCATATCTGGAAGCAGAGCGCTGCATCAGTCGAGGTCTGTTTGCGATTACTTCTGTGAAACGTGCCCACACATGGATGCAATGTGCCTGAAACACATAGTCTATACCTGCCACTACTTGTGCCATTTTCTAATCATAATGCCAAATAGTCCCTGTCACTGTTTCTGGAACTGTGAGTGACGCAGTCGGCAACGGTGCTTCGTCTGCTGCTGCTACGTGAGCTGCCCAGAAGAGGCTCGGTGACTTTGACACTATAATTCGAAAGTTTGTGCTTACGGAGCAGCAGCTCTCAAGCAGAAAGTCATGCCCTTCACTGAGGCTGAGACACCTGTCTCTGTCAAATATATTGCTTCATATATAATATAAAATCGGAACACCTGAACAGCTCAAATTTTTACATTACGGAGAATTTTAAATTCTATTGCAGTGGTTCTCAGCCACGAATATGTTGGGGACCTCTTGTAGACTGCTGGATGTGATGGAGGACCCCTTGCAGCGAAGGGGAGGGAGGGGGGGTACGTAGGTAAATAACACAACTGGATTGTGAAACAGGGGCCTTTCATTGCTGCTGAAAACATCAAACAAACGTGCTACATCACTTTATTTTGGACAGTTCATCGATCCGTGGCACTGACACGCTTAAAGAAAAATGCAGGTGAGGGATTCGGGGATCACAGAATGGCTTTATGGACCCCCTAGGGTCCGCGGAGCCCGTTTCAAGAACCACTGCTCTATTGCACATCTCAAGCTGTAATTAGTTTGCATTAACTCTTTTGTCAGAGACAGTGAAGTAAGAGATGAGCTTCTTTAGCGTGCTGGGTATACTCGGTACACAGCATGAACGTCAACATCTGTTGTGCCCTTGTCTGGGAGTTCCTTTGATGGCATACTCTACAAAGTATCAGCAACAACTTATATGCTGCCTGGAACACACTGCAAGTCACATTCATATTTCAGCATCTGAAGAAAGAAGCACTGCAGACATGGTGGCATGTCACCTATTTCTTTGAAATCACCAATAATGGGCTATGATCAGTTTTGATAGCAGTGTGTCATCCAATCACATAATCATGACATTTTTCAAAGCCATATGTTATGCCCAATGGCTCCTTTTCAATTTGAGTATACCTTTGCTCAGCTTCAATGAGGGCTCTTGACGCATAGCCTACGAGACGCTAATCACGTCCATGTTGTTGGAAAAAAACTGCTGTGAGTGCAAATGTAGGCGCGTCCATTGACAGTTTCGTGGGAAACTCGTAATTAAGAGCCAAGATTGGTGCTTTTGTCAGGATCAATTTTAGTTACTCCCATTAACCCTCGTTAACTTGTGTTCATTTGAAAACATTTTCATCAGTATGCGCAAGGCCTCAGTGCGGGCTCACAACAGCAGCAAGTACTTTCCGAAATAGTGCGCAGCTCCAAGGAAACGCTGGACGTTTTTCTTGGTCTTTGGTGTAGGTTGGTTTAAGATACACATTATCAAGTCGGAAATAGGCTCATTACTCTAGGAGCTAATTTTACCGCGTAAAAAGGTGTTCTCAAGTTTTCCAAAAATGCGCTTGACTGTATTCAATGTAAAGCTCTCAAGGGTTTTGTGCAGGCATTTATCGTGCTCCTTTTTGCTAGAACCCCACACAAGCACATCGTCGATGTACACATGCATTCCTGGAAAGTCATTGGATATCTGACTCGTATCACACTGGAAAACTTCAGATGCAGCTGCGATATTGAGTGGCAACCTGAGCGACCGATAACGTAAAAACCAAGAACTTAATGTGCACATTTTTTAGGTCCTTTTATATGTAAGGGAATTCGATGGAAACCGCTGTTGGTATAGAGACTGCTGAAATACAGTCGAGTCCACTTATAGCAATATTGAGGTGCCACGAAAATGTCATTGTTATAACCGATTATTGTTATAAGCAGGTTAATCCAAAAATAACAAAGAAAACGGGACAAACAACAGCATTTGATGAGGGGAATATAATAAACAAGAGCACTTAATGAGGGGAAAGTTGCTTACACTTTTCACTTCTTAGCCGGTAAAAAACCGTAAGCAGTCAGCTTCGACTGCTTACTGGCCATCTTGTTGACATCTTCTTGCAAAGTGTCGAACTGCCACGTGTGGCCAAGCAGAAGGTTTTTAGCAAACACAAAATCATGCAGGGAGTCGATCATTTGCAACGCTTCCTGATGCGACACAACCAGCATGTGTTCCGGTTCCTGCTCATCGTCACTGCTATCATCTTCGGTGCCAGTGAACGCAGCGACGGTCGCCTCGTCGGTGAGGTCCTCATTTGGTTGCACTAGCTCAACCTCGGTCTCACTAGCTCAACCTTGATTTCTTCCCGGCGAGGCTACTGAAAGTGCTCTCTTTTCAATGCCCTCTTAATTGCCCGTGGGTCCATTTAGGGTAAACTCTTAAGTCTTCATTTTTCTTCCTCACGATAACCAACAGACTTACCCAGTCTAATAGCTCTTCCACTCTCTTCATGTTTGCAGCTTTGAGCTCTTTCTTGAGTGGCTTTTTGAGTGCATAAGGTATACGCCTGGTTGGCTGTCCCACAGGGACAGCGTCCTCTCGAAGCACGATTTTGTACTCGTGTAACGTCCTTCCAGTGCCTGTGAGTAGCCTCGGGTACGTCTGCTTTAGGTTTGCATATCTGTCGCTGTCATCGACCGCGTTGACCTTGCTGATGAGACCAAGCCTTGAGGCTCAAAATGGCTTGCTTCTTCTTTACTATGAAGAACTTGAGTCTAACATGCCACTTTTCTAACTGCGCGGTGAGGTGAACCTTTCGACAGTGTAGTATTTTGCCACCCCCATAATGACGCAAGGTGCTCCTCGTGGGGTACGGCTGCTGCTGGTACATAGTCTCTTGAACAGTGAACGCAGTAGTAAGTTAGTCTGTGCTTTGGTATTGACCTTCGGCCGCACCTCTTTTCTTTTATTGCTTGTTGTTACAGTCCAGTTATACTTTCACGGCCATGCTTGGGTTCTGCTGTCCTGATCTGGTGTCATGAGTAAGAGGGCACGATGCACGTGCCGGGCGCTGGAATGCGGGGCACGTGCACGAGGTTCCAATGGTGAGCATACGAACCGCCAGGTTCACATACGAGATTGGTCGAAAAAAGGCTCGTGGCACGTGGCCTGAGCTGTGATGGAAAATCACAGAGGAAGAGCTGGCACTGTGCTGTGGGGTTTCTAATTGCGAAGGTCAGGAAGGTCAGTGTTGCTACAGCGACAAAAGCAGTAGCTGCCCGTTTCTGAAAGATGTCGGCGTAAGAAGCCTGGGAAGTGGCCCTCGACCTCGAAGGTCCCGAGTGACGCTGTCCAGACTTGCCGCAACCTTGCACAGCACTTCCTGGTGGGACTACAGCTCTTCCATTTTGAGCCAGAATGAATGCGGCTCACACCTGTCATCGGAGTGCGTCATCAATGAGGTCATGTATGAGTTGGGTTTGACCTAGCTGGCTGAAGATGACTAATAAGACCGGTACACCGGCAATGCAGACGAGTAGATCGTCAAGTGGATGCGCGCTGATGACGATGACGGCGAGACGGCACCACTTCCTCATAGTTACAAGGGCGGCATCAGAACAGCAAGAATGTTCCACAATTGCGAGAGCGCATGAGAGTAGCCATCGAGACGCCATCTTGACTGAGTGTCAGATTGTTTGCATTTTGTTTAATATTAAAATGGATTTGCCGTGTTACCACCGACTCGCATCTCTCTTTCAATCCCACCATTCGCAAGCGCTCCCGAGATTAATCGTCACATCTCCATAACGTCGAAGTTACCCGTTGCTCTCAGTTTCGTTGACCACGTTATCAACAGCTGCTCGCTTGTCTATACAGCAGGCACGGTGAAGTGATTAGGCATCATGCAATTGTTGCATATTCGACGTATGCCGTACACTCTTTTGGCGCTTGTGACAAGTTGAGTAACTGTCATTTTTTTCACCTCTTTTGAACTTGTGTTCTTGAAATGGGTTCAATACCAGTTTCATCGTCATCATCATTATCAGCCTGACTATTCCCACTGCAGGATGAAGGCCTCTGCCACGATCCACCAATCAACTCGTTCTGGTGCTTTCTGCTGCTGCGTTATACCTGCAAACTTTTTAATCTCATTGGCCCACCTAGCTTTCTGTCTCCTCTTCGTGCATTTGCCTTCTCTGGGAATCCAGTCAGTTGCCCTTAATTACCTGGGGTTATCCTGGGTATGCACTACATGCCCAGACAATGTCCATTTCTTCTTTTTGATTTCGACTATGATATCTCTAAGACCGGTTTGTTCCTTGATCCACTCTGCTCTCTTCTTGTCTCTTACTCTTAAAGTTACACCTATAATTTTCCTTTCCACCGCTCGCTGCGTCATTCTCAATTAAAGCTGAATCCTCGTTGTAAGCCCCCAAGTTTCTGTTTCATAGGTAATTCCAGCAAGATGCAGCTGTTACCTTCCTCTTGAGGGTTAGTGGCAGATTACCATTCATGATTTGAGAGTGCTTGCCAAATGTGTTCCACCCAACTTTACTCTTCTAGTTATTTCACTCTCATGGTCTGGTTTTGCGGTTACTATTTGTACTAAGTTGGCATATTCTTTTTACAACTTCCAGCATCTCTCCAGCTGTCGCAAAGTGCTGTTTTCTGCCAAGATGGTTGCACATTACTTTAGTTTTGTGAATATTAATTTTAAGTCCTACTTGTCTGCTTTTCGTGTCCAGTTCAATAATCATGATCTGTAATTCATCCTCTGAGTTACTCATCAAGGCAATATCATCAGCAAACCACATAGTACTAAGATGCTCTTCATTAACTCTTATCTCTAACTCTTCCTAATCTAGGGCCCTGAAAACCTCCTGTAAACACGCAGTGAATAGCATTGGAGAGATTGCGTCCCCCTGCTTTGCACCCTTCTCTATTGGGATTCTGTCGCTTTTTTTATGCAGAACTATGGTGACTGTAAATCCATTGTAGATTTCTTTCAGTATGTTTATGTAGGGTTCGTCAATGTCCTGATTCTGTACTACCTGCATTACTGTTGATGTCTCGACTGAGTCAAACACCTTCTCGTATTCTATGAAAGATGTTTATAAGAGTTTGTTGTATTCTGCACATTTCTTTATCACCTGATTGATAGTATGAATATGGTCTATTGTATAGTAGCCTGTACGAAATCATGTTTGTTTCTTTGGTTGATTGAGCTATTATGTCATCCTAATTCTTTTAGCATGAATAGTATTCAAATTCTACTATTTTCCTGAATAGTTTGTACAGAACAGACACATAGCTTATTGGCCTGTAGCATTTCAGGCTCTTGATGTCTCCTTTTTTAAGGATTAAGATGATGTGTGCATTCTTCCAAGATGCTGGTACTCATCCCGTGAAGAGACACTTCGTATACAGTCGATTCTGGATATATCAAGCTCGTATATATCAAATTATTGGCTATTACCGAGCAGTTGAGAAATCACCTTGAATTTCTTTATGCTGAAGTGTGGGACCGGTGCGCCCCTACATCGAACTCCCGACAGCGGGACATCCGCTACAGTGAACGTTGCGCCGTGCCAAAGCCCAAAAAGTGCATTTTTCTTAGCAAATATTGCTCAATTTTCAGCCGTGTTCTGACAAGTTCAGATTCTTTTTTGCGTGCAGGGGATGAAAAGGTGGTGTTATTCCATCCCACTGATCTGGTTCGTTGCGCGGCGCTTGCGAGTGCACCGGTATGTTTGATGCGTGATATGCAGATGTTAACGCAGGGACATAGTGTTTTTCAAAAAGACCGATTGCCGAGGACACCAAAATGAGAATGCGAAGTGACTTGGTGATCTTGTTGCAATGTTCGATATCCCTTCCTTGTTTGTTAGTTCACAATTGCATGTGAGCTTGAAAAGCATGGTCTTCATGAAGTGCAACCTTGTGATGAATATTTAGAGCTTTCAGTTTTGAAACACATGTCTCAGAGGCTGTGCATTAAAGCATCTTAAAGCAGTGGCGACCAGCTGCAATGCCACAAGTGACATCGATATCGCCAACATATTGATGGTGGGAACTCGGCACTCGGCTATGCCACGATAACTCGGCTTTGTCTTTTATGCCTTTCGGACTTGTGTACTTCTTGCCACGTTCCTCTCATTCAGGAGTTGAACTGAACGTTGACCCACACATAGCGATAAAAATTATGAATGGCGCTTCCAGCGACATTAAGTAAAGCACCATCGTAAATTTTCTTTGCGGGTCATGTGACAACTTCGGGTGCGTCATGATTGCTGACAACTTACGGTGGCTCAGTAAATTCTGCAACTTATCAGTGTTTCCAGGCACCATTAGCGTTTACGGTCCTTGGACAGTAAGCAACTTATCGGTGCAAATAATGGCGTAGCTGTTTCTGGCTGCTTCGATGCTGAGATCGTGGCTGCCGTTACCAGTGCCACGGAAGCGTACCTGTGCAGTTATGAATATTCCAATGCCTTCACTGCCGCCACTGACAAACATTTTGCCATGCTACAACGCTTGCATTTTTCTGTGTTCTGCGTCAATTAATGCTGTCGCGGTGGCAGAAGCTGAATTCGTTTATTTGAAAAGCTTCAATGATATTGAGAATGACTGGAACTTGATGGCGTGCTAGAAGCAAGACAAGTTTACGGACATTTTCAATGCAAAATAAAGTGCGGTAACTTGCAGTTCACACCTTGTTCTTCATTAAACTGTGAGCGTATCCTTATGTTGGCACTTGGTACGATTTCCGAGGCCTGAAAAGCTTTAATGTAGACCTTAAATACGCATATTTTGTATTTAAGATTATCATTATATCATACTACTTCGTGATCCCCTTCGATTTCAATATAGTATCCGAGATTGACTGTATAATTTCACAGGACTGCCAAAAATATTCTTATTATTCGAAATTCGTATCACAAGCAAGCTTGGAATGATAGCATGCAACAAAAGAAAGCTGGTGTACATTTTCATTAATTTTTTTCGGAGCGGGAGCATTTTCAGGGTGAACTAGAAATGATTGTTGGTTAAGTTTTTAAATGTAGGCAATCATACCAGTCTTTGTGAATATATACGTATGTCATTTTAACATTTTGTGTAGTAGTGCAACTTCGACGGACACAGAGGATAAGAAAACACGACACATATACGTGTGTGTTATATTAATGAACCGGTGCTTTGTGACCTGCCACAGCAGTAAGTATTACCAAACTTTAGTAGGCTTTTTTGCATGACATGAGAGTATTGAGGTGAAAGTGAGGAAAGTGCTAATATTAATTTAAGGGCTAGTTTTTTTTGTTAGGCACAATAATAATGGAAACTAGCAGACAACGATGCCAGTGAAAGTATAGGAGATGTTATCAGAAGTAATTTTAATGTAAATGTGAAGAACGATAAGTGGACAAAAGGAAGCACTTTGACCCGATAGATCAAGGTTACAAAATCTCAGAACCACAGTCCTATGTTATAATATTGTTATTGCAGAGGTGTTGGGGATGTTTTTTGGCAAGCTTATGGTCGTGCCTGCACAAGTATGACCTCAATTGTCGCGTTTGTTGACGTTGCGAGGCCTGGCTCCTTTGCCAAGGCTGTCCGCGCTTTCTTTTGGTCTTTGTCCACCTTTCACAGCATGTCTGATGCACGAGGCAGGCACATGTTGTAAGCACAGCACGACAGCAGCCCACACCAACACAGAAAAAAAAAGCATGGCGCCAATGCTCTCTGTAATCTAAACGCAAAGGCACAGGAAGGCACATTAGAGCCTTAAAGATTGGCGCACACAACTTCAAAGATCGTGACGTGGGTCTCAAGGTTTATTCTGACCGTGATAAAAGCATTTTTCTTACACCGTGATTTTGATGATTCAGCAATGTGGCGTGCATGCCTGCGCTCGCATGTGCTTGGGGACAGCACCTCTTCGTACCTGGGCGGTAGCGTACGTTTTTACAAAACGTCACAGTGTGAAAATATCTTTGCAACAATTGAGCTTCATTACATTGCAGGCTAATAGACCTCGGCCAGAACCAAAAAAAAGTCATATCACCACAAAATTCGTATGAGCTGTGATCGGATCAGCGTGGTTTCTCTGTATTGGAATTGAGCAAGGCTAATGGCCAAACGTAGTGATGTGGCAGTGGTGTTGCCATGACAGATGTTACGATGCGGACTTGCATGTAAGTGGTGCCGTTGTTCGTTTGTCAGGTCACACACGTGGCACTGCTACCAATCATACATGGCCATAGGCAACCACCCGTGGTGTCGGCTGCTGAAGATGCTGTGCGGCTGCACGCTGGAGAGCGGTTTGAGGCAGACGGTCTCACCCTGCATCACCTGATTGGTGCTACTGTCACCTGCTTGGATGTCTCGGATGCCGTCATTGCCCTTGGGCTCACCGACAGGTCTGCTGTCAACGTGTTTCAGGTGGGTAATAGAATCACTCTGCTGTCCCCTTTCAGCTTTGTGCTATGGGACCTCCTTCTGTACATACTAACCCCAGTGCATTTATATATTTTGCAACAAATAAAGATTTTTTTGATTGATTGAGTGTGAGCAGTTGTAGAAAGTATAACACAGTGCACATTGTGGAAAAGTGCGCACCTGATGCCCTCAAGGAGAACAATCCTTAAAAGGTATCATAAGCTTGGGTCATTGGTGAAAAATTTATTCCTGAGTTGGTGATTTATCCACCCAGTGCTCCCTGTTACTAGTATGAGCCCACAATAGGACATTTATCACTCTCTTGTACTAATGCATGCTGTCTAGTTGAACTCCGCTCAAACCTCATTAAACAAAGTCACATATGCCACAAAAATACTTTGTTATATCCAAAGATTTTTATAAACAATTATAACACTGTATCCATGGCGAAGGTATTGGTCACTTACTTTGGTATAACCAATAATTCACTATATTGAGGTTTGAGTGTAATCACAAGAAATAGACCTCCCCAATGAGACATGTTGGAGAACTGAGCAAGTTCAAAACCCTCACCAGGTTACCAAAGGAACGTTCACTGGTGCCGAACACTCTGTTGGGCAAGAGTGAACATTTGCAAGAGCAGGAGCTGCTGATGTGTCGCTAGCAAAAAAACAACTGAGCAATTATGGGCTTACGTTACTTACTTACACCACTTTCCGAATTCATGCCGGGAACCGGCTGGTGGGCTGTGTGTACATAGCTCACGCAGCATATTGCGGATCCTCCACACCTGAAGCCAGTTTCTCTGTGCTATGTGTATGTTGGGTTGTGCCGACACCAGAAAATTTGGGGCATCTTTTGCTGCATATGTGCACCTCTGCCTCAGATGTCACACAAAAAAGTGAGACTTCATGAAGTGCAAGAGTTTTAGGGGATGTGGCATGGGCCAAATGGTCTCACGCTTTGAAGGAAAAGCATCATTGTAGACAGCATAATATGCGAAGCACTGATCGCAGTGTTGAGCAGTGCTACTTGGAAGGTTGGCCAGTGATGATGCTGGTATTAGTAAATGTGTGCACTCATTAGTTTTTATATTGTACTCCTTCAGCTAGTGAGATCCCTGCATGATGACATGCATACTTAGGAATACATTGGTTTTATTGCAATAGCAATTAAATGGACAGTCTCGACAGGTTTTTGCCATCGTTGTCTTGTCCTATATAAAGCCTAAATGGGTAGGATCCCCCAGCACATTGCACATTCTACACGCAAGTAATAGTGCATGAGTTGGGGTGACAAATGCGGCTGAAGCACAGATCGAATGAGTCAGCCCACCTCTGTTGCTCGAAGATGGGCGCCCGGTACATGTGATAAATTTCCCCCGCCTGCTAGACCAGCCACTGCATGTGCTGGCAGAGAGGAAACGTCTTGCACATATTTGTTTTATATATTTATGAATTTATTCAGAAATACTGTCATCCCTCTATTGAGGGTCATTGCAGGGAAGATACAACACACTGTACAAAGTAGGCACATAACTATACACTTCACAATGATAAACCAGGTATACAATTATACGAATTCATCATAGCTCTGCTATATTCAAACGAAAACACACACCTGAACTCCCAATGCAACTGATAACAATCACAATGCTCCTTATAATAAATCACATAAATCTAAATTAAGTAAATGCACAAATTCATTAACATAATAGGCATTAACTATATTACTCGGCAACCCATTCCTATCTTCGATGACATCAAGGAAGAAATTATAACAGTACGCTTTTGTTTGCGAACAATAAGGTTGCAGTACTCATGTGTGGTTTGCCTTCTCACTTCGTTTCCCAGGCTGTTGTACATAGTTGTTTCTGTTAATTTCAAACTCACCTTTGGTTAATTGAAAAAGAAACTTTAATCTATTTTTTAGTCTGCGCTTGTGCAGAGTCTCCACATTACCAAGTTATATCATATTTGTGACTGAGTCGATTCGCTTATATGTTGAGAATATAAAGCAAGCTACAAGCCGTTGTATTAATTCAAGTTTACTTTCCGGAACTTATTGGTGGGGATTTGAAACAATGCTGGCATATTCCAATATTGGCGATATAAAAGTTTTAAAAGGAAGAAGTTTTATGTTCATACTTGCACCCTGCAGTTTTTTCCTTATTGAGTACAACTTCTGTGAAGTCCTAGAGCAAAAATTATCAATATGTGTATGCCACTTTAGGTTATGCGTTATTATGAAACCTAGGTATTTAAAACCATTAACTGTCAACAGGGTATGATTCCCAATGCAATATTCAAATGGAATTATTGCTTTTTTTCTAGAAATGTGGGTAATGCTAAATTGTGAATAATTGATTTCTATTCCCAAAGCTTCACACCAGGAGTGTAATTCCTTCAGACATTAGGCAATGTTCAACTGATTCTTCCTACCAGTCACTCGCACGTGAATTAAGCAATCATCAGGAAACAGTTTGAGCTTTACATGAGGTATTGCTATACCTGCGATGTCGTTGACATATATCAGAAACAATAGGGGCCCAAGAGCTGAGCCCTGCAGAACTCCAGAAAACACTTCTAGCGAGCTAGACATAGAGTTCAATTTTTACGAATTGCTTCCTATCATTTAGGTATGCTTGAATCTGGGGGCGTGCAAATATCAAAATTTTCAAATACAAATCGAATACAAATACATTGCTTCATATCTGAATTGAATATTGTATAATGAAGAGGTGTGATTTTTTTCCACCAGTAATATTTTACCCAATGATATATTTATAATGGAAACAGTTGTTAATATAGTCAGTTATTGCACACAAAAATTACAAAAAATGTCACCATCTCTACTTGCCAGAATTAGCATAAGACTGTGATAGTTGAGCTTGTGACTGTGATGTTTTGGGTTCAATTCACATGTTGAACAAACCTTTTGTATCTTTTTTACGTGGTAGCACTTTATTTAAAAAAAAAAACAAGGAAAAGCTGTCGTACCTGACATGATGACTAGTGAGCATGAGGCTGCTAGTTTCATTGTGTAACAGTTGTAAAGGTGTTTATTGAACGAGCCGAACAAGTGGGTTGTAGCTCGAAAAAGAACGCAGGCGGACCAAGACGAGGGTGTTCGAGCGCTGATCTCGTGCCTTCTTCTCGTGGTAATAGTTTTGCCACTATTATCAATCTCTTTCTTCTTCATTGTACAGTTAACACCTGTGTATTTAAATATAAGCGATAATTGAAGCAGCCTAGGTGTTCACAATTCATGCAGGTTCCCACACTATCAGTTCTGGCTCGAAAGACCCCCATTTTATAGTATTTTAAAAAATTTTCTCCCCTTTGTTCACGGTCAAGCCACTAAGAGAAATAGGAGTACAGTAAAATCTTGGTATAATGAACTTCAGGGGACCGTGGCAATTTGTTGGTTTTTTTTAAAGGTCGTTATTGTGAAAGCTCAAACATTAACCATAAATACTTATTTTCCAATGACCAAAACAACTTATTTTTACTATGGTGGTTCCTTGAACTCGTTTTTCATGATAAAAAACAAATGCGCAAGTGAACACCTAAAAATGCACGTTTCCTTAAAAAAGTCTGTGATTTTTTTTTTTTTACACATGCAGCACAAAATTTGCTGCGTGAAGGCCTCCAGCTCATCCACATTCTCCACTTTCTCCTTAGCGAAAATTGCTTCCGCTTCTTCGTCGCAAGCAAAGATGAACTCATTGTAGTGGCACCGCAGCCCGAACGTTGACTTGCTTGGGGACGCGATAAGTAATCACCGAAAAGATAAACACGACTGACAGGACCTTCTCAGAGACCACACATACCTTTTTGGTCTCCTAGATCACATGTAGAACCTATGATCTAGGTGATATCGTAAGATAAGAAAAAGCGGAAGCATCGTGGCTGTCATCGCCTCTTCCGAAAAAAAGAAAGAGCTAAAAAAGAAAATTCCTCGTGTTTCGTTTTCTGCTCCTTCACTGTCTCAGGTTTTCCGCACCCGTGCTTCCTGCTCCACTACTCCCACTCTGCCCTCTGCCTCGGTGACCGTGCCCTCCCATGTTACTCTCACCCCTCACCCCTGCACTTGTAAACCTGCAGTGTTGGCGTTTCAATAAAAAGAAATAAAAAAAGTTGGTTTTTCGTTTTTTTTTTCGTCCACACAGTCGCACGTCTTCCGAGAAGCAAGGCGTTAGTTCGCTGTGTCATCTGCTTTGGTGGTCACGACGGATATCCAAACATGAGTTTCTAGTACTGAGGTGTTGTTAATATAACGTGGAACTAAATTAGTGCTCGTTATTTTGAAAAGTTCGACATTCTGAAGTACGTAGTAGTAAAATTGAAACTATTAGCAGTCGACGCAATATTTTTGAAAAATTTGTCAATCTGAAAAGTTCGTTAAAGTGGTGTTCGTTCTACTGAGATTTTACTGTACTTGGAGCGTTTTTCAACTACACAGCAGTACCCGTTATCTAACCTGCTTCCAATGCCTATCTCGAGGACTGCGCGCTCGCCATTTTCGAATCAAGAATGCTGTGTTGCGCTGATAGCTGCACGATCATGACAGGGCGGGCGGCGATAACGTGAGGTAAGCGCGCGAGATAGAATATTTCTGGTGTGTGATGGAAATATGCCCCAAATACGCCTTTTTGTTAACAGTGTTTCTTCGGCGCATTGGCTGCCAACGGCAGTGAAGTGACGTTGGCAAAAGAACGAGATCCCAGCAACTGTGTAATGGTGGTTGATTGCAGGAGACGTTGCTGCGTGAGCGCGATGCGTGTACAATGTATTTTCAAAGGTGCTGTTGGGAACACAGCGGAACTACGGATGTCACCTTACGTGCGCCGCCGTTATCAACGAAGAACTATATGTGATGACTCCATTGTAACATTACCGAAACTGCATGGCCTTTTATGTTTGCTATTTTGCGGAAAAACACTTAAGCTCATTCGCATGACCATATTTGCTACCATGAAATCATTCTGGAACTAGGAAGCG